AAACAAACATGGTGAACAAAGACATGCCTACAGAGGCCCAGGACAATTTGTCAAATTGAAAGCAAGTGTCATTTGAAGTTTACTGAGAATATGTGAAATGCTGGACTTTCTCATTGATAACATCTATGTGAAATTTGGGGTAAAACATTTCGCCAAGAAGTAGGCATCCCCATGGGCACCAACTGTGCTCCCCTCCTTGCGTATCTTTTTCTTTCTGCATATGATTCAGAATTTCTGATTGGTTGGCAAAATCAAAATAAGGTAATTTGGCCAAGAAGTTTAACTTCAGATTCCGGTACATCAATGAATTAATGTCGTTCAATAACCATCAAATAGCCAATTGCCTTCCACTCATTTACCTACCTGAACTTGAAATTAAGGAGACAAGGGAGACCGCCTGAACTGTTTCATACTTAGATCTATGCATAAAGATTCAGAGTGACAAAAACTCACCACATGGCTGTATGACAAAGGGATGATTTCAACTTTCCAGTAGTAAACGTCCCTTTCATGCAGAGCAAACTTCCAACCTTTGCTGTTTACATTTCACAACTTTTGAGGTACAATAGAACGTGCTCCTTTTATGAGGAACTCAAAGAGCGTCATGCAACTCTTGCTCAGAAGTTGTTTGATCAAGGTTACACCATTCAAGACCTCAGTAAAGCTTTCAGGACATGTGGACGTAAATACCAATTTTGATGCCCCTGTGCCAAAAGTGATGTCCGATGCAATTCCCTATTTTGCTTTATACCATACGTTCCCGAATTATTTCAGGTGAACAATGACTGGACTTAGCAAATGTTTATGGCGGGTGCCACTGGTGGGGTAGGACACGCTCACCTTTCGTGAACACCGGGTAACATCACTATTTCATAGTGATTCAGTAACACATGCTCTGTCATCGTATCGCATGGTGACAATCACTGGATTGTCTGGTTCAGACCCGATTTGTTTACCAACAACATCGGACAGAAATAACACTGCTGAAACTAATATCTGCTCATGATATAGTCACAATTGTACAATCGACTCTGCTGTTGGCAGAGATTTGTTATGAATGTTGAAAAGGTTTTTGTCGCTTCTATTTTGATTATTTTCTCGTTCCTTCAACTTCTTTCAAAAACTTGAGGTAACGAGTAAATACTGAAATTTCAGGTTTTGGAAAAAAACTTGAAGCAACGAGAAAATACTTGAAATTTCGTGCTACAAAAGTGGCAGTATTATGCTTTCGTACTCAACATCCTTAAATCTCAAACATAAACATTTTTATGAAAACTTTTAACAAGCTTCGGGCCAATATTAGGACAGCAATGCAATTATCTTCAATGTTGTAGAAAACACTCTACTTAGGAAAAACAATAACCAATTGCGATATTGCATTCATGTCGGAATCAATATTTGGGGCACATGTCGCATTTGAACTTGAATGTGCGACGTCTTGGTCAACGTCGTCTGCGACTTAGTCAGGCCAAAAGGTATACGAGACTGCTTCAAACAGCGGAATATATGTCATGTGATAAGAACTTCTCTGACGGAGACAATGACAGCGACGCAACATCGCATTTACTTGTGCGACCTTTGTCTTGGTGATTTGAGTTCGTGGATCGTCAATTAAAACGGCTTGATGGACAGATCAGATATCATACCTGTTTGATGCTCACGTATCCTCGGGTTGGGAATTGTCTTTCCAGTGTTTGTCATGGCACGTGCATCAGAAACAGTAGTAACCCTGAGGCACGTTCACATACAATTGTTAGGCATGTCTCAAAGTCTCAAAGATTGTTATCACCAGTAAATTCTACAGACGTGTTGGTGGCTATGCTGGGTTCACACTGTCGCGTGATCCGTTAAAAACACCACGATTGGCCATTTGCAGCTGATCGTGGAACTTCTCTGAAATTTCAGGTTTGGATACGAGGTGATGTGAGTCGATACGATCTGTTACGCTTGGATGCGATATTGTCACAATTGGTCACTTTCAGGTGACGCGGTCTGTCATGATCTGGTCTCCCGTTCAGATACGATCACATACGTTGTGATAAGATTGTCAGGATCGAGTCCACGATCTGGTCGCAATCTGACACGATCATCACGATCAGGGTCCCCGATTTGGTACAATCTGGTACAAGGGGGTATGCACATCAAATGAAACACCGAGAACGACAAGGGTTGTGCTAAGTAAACGCACTTCACGTACCGCACGTGCATTTGTTTCACTGTTCCAACTACTGCGCTTACCCCATTGTGGTAACCTAATCGTCGTCTTTCCGACAGAACCGTCAGAAATCGCTTAAGAACTGTAGGCCTGAGGTCCAGAAGAGTAATCAAACGCACTCTACTGGCAGATCACCATCAGAGGCACCGTTTGGCATGGTGTCTGGCTCGACGTGCGTGGAATCTGAGTACATGGCTAACAATTCACTGGTGAGATGAAAGTCGTTTTCTGCTGCATGTCACACAGATGGACGAGCAAGGGTTTGGAGGCTCAGAAATACGACCTATACACCAAGGGACATCAAACCAATAGTCCCATACGGGGGAGGCTCCGTTATGATCTGGGGGTGTAACTCCCATGTTTGCAAGTTGGACCTGGTTACCATACGAGGCAACCTTACAGGTGAACTGTACATCCGAAATGTCCCGGAACCAGTTGTTGTCGCCCATTTTTTACCTCAGTTACAACGCAGTTACAACACTGCCTTGGCTTGCAATGAGTCCAGATCGGAATCCGTTGGAGCGACATGCACGTGTAAAACACCATCGTCGCTTCACTACAAACTCGAAGGACATACATGTGGAAAACACTACAATCACTTCACTATATGCTATAAGGACATACTTGTTTAATCACTACTTACAATCACTTTACTACACCCTCTAGGGGCATACATGTGGAAAACACAAATACAATCACTTTACTACTCCCCCTAAGATCATACGTGTGTAAAACACTACAATCACTTTACTACACCCCCTAAGATCATACGTGTGTAAAACACTACAAATCACCTTACTACACCCTTTAAGATCATACGTGTGTAAAACACTACAATCACTTTACAACACCCTCTAGGGGCATGCATGTGTAAAACACAAATACAATCACTTTACTACAGGCGGTAAGGTCATACGTGTGTAAAACACTACAATCACTTTACTACACCCCCTAAGATCATACGTGTGTAAAACACTATAATCACTTTACTACACGCTACAAGGACACACGAATGAAACACTAATACAATCATTCTCCTATTCTGAGGACAAGCATGTGTAAAACACTATTTACAATCACTTTACTACACTTTTTGGCGACAAACACGTGTAAAACACAATTTACAATAACTTTACTACACATTCTGAGACCAAACACGTGTAAAACAGTATTTATAACCACTTTACTACATATTCTGAGGATATACATGTTTAACCACGACAATCAGATTACTATACGCATTAATCACATATTTTTGTATGTTTAAATTGAATTAAAATGAATAGAAACTGACCCAGGCTTAGGAAACATTTTCTGATTGAAATGTGTTATTAAGCCTTTCAGTATCTGGTTTGTCGACATACACTTGTAAACACTACTTACAATCGCTTTACAACACACTATAATGACATACACGTGTAAAACATGTGTAATATAGAACCTTTCAGTCCCTGTTTATCGACATACACGTGTACACACGACTTACAATCGTTTTACAACACACTATAATGAGATACACGTGTAAAACATTTGTAATATAGAACCTTTCAGTCCCTGTTTATCGACATACACGTGTAAACACTACTTACAATCACTTTACAACACACTATGAGGAGATACACGTGTAAAACATGTGTAATATAGAACCTTTCAGTCCCTGTTTATCGACATACACGTGTAAACACTACTTACAATCACTTTACAACACACTATGAGGAGATACACGTGTAAAATATGTGTAATATAGAACCTTGCAGTCCCTGTTTATCGACATACACGTGTAATGTGATTGAGCCATATTATGCCATGCTCTAGACCCGCAATGAACGCAGTGATTGTAATTTCGTTTTGCTAGCTCATGTGCCGCGTGGGATGTTCCTGTCGGGGCATCATGTTTTGGAGAAGGTCGATTGTCCGTTGATTCTGGCGATTCTATGGCTGGAAAGTGTTGACTGACTTTCTATACAAATATTATTGTTATATTAAATTAAAGCAGAATGCTTTCATGGGTGAATGTTTTCAGTTACGTTCGAAAGGAACGCATCTGCATGCAGATATGTCACTGTTTGAGTCATCACCGTCCACACAGAAAATATTCTGTTGATGAGGTGCATGTATTATAAGCCTGTGATAGCTCACACATAGAAGTACAATAGTCATTATCAATATACTATGAGAGAGTCCGGATTACAGTATGCCATCAACCTAGGCTGGTCGGAGGAGGCAAGCTAATGGTTTAAGCGACCAGGCTCAGCTCCATGATTCCTATGTGTCACAATACCAAGCCTGTCTAGATCGTTGCTCATAATATCAATCACTGGATTGTCTTTTCCACAATCTATTCTTACAAGCTTCCGTCATGCAGAAGGAATCTTGTTAAGTTTGTCGTCAAACAACGATCGTGAATAAGGAAAAGATGTGAAAAGAGGAGTGAGTGAGTGAGTTTAGTTTTACGCCGCTTTTAGCAATATTCCAGCAATATTACGGCGGGGGACACCAGAAATGGGCTTTACACATTATGCCCATGTGGGGAATCGAACACGGGTCTTCGGCGTGAAGAGCGAACGCTTTAACCACTAGGCTACCCCACCGTCCCTTGTAAATATGAGGCTACGAAATCAAACCATCGACCTCCCACAGAAATATCCACGAATTATGCTGAAATACATTCACAGCAAAATATGTTATCATAGATGGCCGGCGTTCCACAAAGCTTACAAAGTCAAACACTCGCTGAAGTGTTCGTGTGGCTGTGTGTTAAATAAAGAAGCAAAACTTCAGAATATAACTTTATAATATCAATTCAGTGATATTTATTTACATTTTTCTTGTCTAAAATTTCCAGTTTCTATTACTTTCAAGTGTCATTTTCGGGAATGTTGTTTTTCCCTGGAGTTTCTCTTTGTTTCCTGAGCCACTGTTTCATCTCCTCGATTGTCTGTGGCAGTTCCTGGTTGTTAGTTTCTGGTAGGAAGCGAACCAGGAGAGTCACCACGACACAGAACGTGCCGAACACAGAGCCAGGGACCCACGGCAGGTAGCGGTACTGTTACACAAGAATCCTCATCATGTATTACATTAAAGTGAGGGAACTATAATTTTTATACCTTATATGGGAAATTACGTATGGCAAGATTACCAACATTACCAACTGTTAATCCGGGACACGCCGAATATAAATTCCATTTGTAATTCTCAAACCTTGTTAAGAAATCTTCATTTGAAATGTGAGCTGAACCGCTGGTCATTATTAAGTTAGAATATGTTTTAAACAAATATGGGAAAGGTTTAATTCTTCAAAAGAGTCAGCGTTACATTTGATTAGAATTTGCCCTCGCCAACCTATGCTAATCTATGCTACCGAAGGCACTAGATAGATCGGTTGTGAACCTGGAGCGTGGAAGCCTGCCCAGAATAGAAAACGCTGGTCTGGTACATAATTTCTACATGTCACCGCCATAGCTGGAATAATGCCTGGTGCGACATCGTGCAACAAGCCAGGAGACACAACGCAAATGGCAAAACATGAATTGTCATTGGCCACTAATTTGCTGTATGAATGATATATTTTAATGTTATCTATGTTCCTCGAATTATTCAAACCTGGTGCAGCCTCTCGACTACCCACAGTCTTAATATGTGTGAAGTTCCGAATGAAGTAATGCGATATACCTCAGTCCTAGCACACTCTGTACAACCAGACTCACCACAGTCCGTGTAAATGGGGCAAACAGTCCACCAATCCTCGCAGACATTGATGCCAGACCAATTCCAACATTTCTGAAACACATTAGCATTGAGGATACAAGTTTACACACATCGTGCTTTTGGTCTGTATATAATTGTATATTTTGCACTAATATATAATGGATATTAATGCATGTAACAACACACAATAATTCTCATCTTAATTCAGGATTCAAGGTGGTTACAAGGCCACACTAACCGTATTACTATATATCACTGAAGACACATACTAGAAGGGGGTGTTGTTAGCCTAGTGGTTAAAACGTTCAAGTCTCGAGTTCGATTCCTCACATAGGTACAATGTGTGAAGCCCATTTCTGGTGTCGCCGGGTGATAGAGAGCTGGAATATTGCTGAAAACCAAACTGACACACTGTAGGTGTTGTGTACGCTAAGGTGTAAAGGGATGTTTGTTTCGGTTGAGTTTTATGAATGTGTTCTTGTAAATGGCGTAAAGTAAACTCACTCACTGACATACTAAAATGTGCATGAGGGATTTGTGCTAACATGTTATGTGCGTTTAAATGATCTTGCCAACATGCCAGGCACGTGACTTTGCGATCTGTAATTGACCGAGTCTGGACCAGAATATTCGGTGATGGATGTCATTGACATCGATCCACCCGGCTACCATGGCATGCAATCAACAATGTCACCCAGCCTAACTCCCCTATCCATTTTGTCCCCAGGATTTCCTTCAGTTTTCAAATATAAGTTAAGAAAAATATGGTAAAAGTTTATTCGCCCTGTGTGAGGTATACGTACGTTCTCGGACGACATTGTTTGTTTTGTGGCGATCACTATAGTCAGCAGCTAATCCTTTACGTAGGTAAACGTGTATTGTGCTGAACATAAACAGAGCTCGTTAAACACAATAATAACATGATTTCGTTTGAGCATGTAAGAAACCTCCCAATGGTAATTACCAGTAAATGTAAAAGATAAAATGCGAATTATTTTAAATGTCGCATTTCGTTGCGTTTACGATTTTTGTTCTGTGTAACATTATCAAAGCAACATATCATGGATTATATAGCCGTATTGGCTTACCTTATGTTTGTTGGGAAGATTTCAGGGTATACAACCATATGATGTTATATGAAGTCGCTATTGCAAATTTTCCTATCAAAGAAAATGTTGTCACCGCTACAGTGAAGGAAGGCACTGCACCTGAAACACCAGTAGGAGGATACAGAATACTACGGTTATAACGAACTCAAAGGGACCATTAAGTTTAGTTCGTTATAACCGTAGTTCGTTCAAAACATGGTCAAAATACGTAGAAATATATATAGAAGTGGTCAGGGCCCTGTTCCCCAAAGCGATCGTTAGCCCTAAGATGATCGCAAACCCATACTTTAACATAGATTTACGACTGTCGTAGCGCTACGATCGCTTTGAGGAACGAGGGCCCTGTGCCTTTAACACAGTTCGTTATATCCGTCAGTTCGTTAAAACGGAGTTTACTGTATATGAAACATATAATGAGTGGATCATACCTGTTCTGTTATCTTGCCCTCACACATTAATGTCGTGTTTTCTGATTGGCTCAGCGCTCTTCTATTATTTTCAATGTACCCCGCTATCAAGCGAGTAACATTTTCCATGTGCCCCGCTGGAATGCGAACTAATTTGGTACTTCGTAGTAGTAATTCTTTATCTCGAATAACATTGAATCACGTATGATGAGCGGAAATTACCAATGTTTTGCGAAGGAAATTCGATGGAAGGGAGATAACTCTAAATTTGTTTTTCTTGTCTTGTCGCCTTGCCTCCATACTCATGATCCATGCTTCAAACAGTTCAAAATTACAATTGAGGTGTTGGGAGAGATAACATACTTTGTTCACTGGTCCCTCGGGACCAATGGATTGATGTACCCTCGATAAACAAACATCGAGGGTACATCAGCCCTTATAATGTACCACAGCAGAGCCATTATGGTAGTGTTCAATCATTGCAGTGTCATTTCACTCCCATACTAATTTTACTGAGCGTGAGAGAGGTGTGGTAGAGTGCTAGAATCGGTAGTTGAGTGCAGGAAGCCGTGGAAGGGTACTGATTTTCGGAGATTGAGGAAAGCCGTGGCACAGTACAGGTATTCGGTTGTAGAGTGAGAGAAGCCGCGACAGAGTAAAGTATTCGGTGGTAGAGTGGAGAGAAGTCGCGACAGAGTAAAGTAATCGTGGTGGTAGAGGAGATAAACCACGGCAGGGTAAGGTATTCGGTGGTAGAGGAGGGACGTAAAAACTGGCGGTAGAGGAGAGAAGCCACGACAGAGTAAGGCATTTGGTGGTAGAGGAGATAAGCCGCGACAGAGTAAAAGTATTCGGTGGTAGAGGAGAGAAGCCGCGACAGAGTACAAAGCATTCAGTGGTAGAGTGAGAGAAGCCGCGACAGAGTAAAGTATTCAGTGGTAGAGTGAGAGAAGCCGCGACAGAGTAAAAAGCATTTCGTGGTAAGGAGATATAGCCGCGACAGAGTAAAAGTATCTCGGTGGTAGAGTGAGATAAGTCCGCGACAGAGTAAAGTATTTAGTGGTAGAGTGAGATAAGCCGCGACAGAGTAAAGTATTCAGTGGTAAGAGTGAGATACCGCCGACACAGTGAAAAGCATTCAGTGGTAGAGTGAGAGAAACCGCGACAGAGTAAGATATTCGGTGGTAGAGTGAGATAAGCCGCGACAGGGAAGTAAGGTATTCAGTGGTAAAGTGAGATAAGCCGCGACAGAGTGAAGTATTTGGTGGTAGAGTGAGAGAAGCCGCGACAGGGTAAAGATATTCGGTGGTAAAGTGAGAGAAGCCGCAACAGAGTGGAAGTATTCGCTGGTAAAGTGAGAGAAGCCACGACAGAATAGGGTATTCGGTGGTAGAGTGAGATAAGCTGCGACACAGAGTAAAAGTATTCGGTGGTAGAGTGAGAGAGGCCACGACAGAGTAAAGTATTCGGTGGTAAAGTGAGATAGGCGCGCGACAGAGTAAAATATTCGTGGTAGATGTGAGAGAAGCCGCGACCAGAGTAAAGTATTCGGTGGTAAAGTGAGATAAGCAGCGACAGAGTAAGGTATTCGGTGGTAGAGTGAGATAGAAGCCACGACAGAGTAAAGTATTCGGTGGTAGAGGAGATAAGCCACGACAGAGTAAGGCATTGGCGGTAGAGTGATATAAGTCGCAACAGTGTGAAGTATTCGGTGGTAGAAAGGATATAAGCCGCGACAGAGTGAAAGGCATTCGCTGGTAGAGAGTGAAATAAGCCGCGACAGAGCAAAGTATTCGGTGGTAAAGTGAGATAAGCCGCAACAGAGCAAAGTATTCGGTGGTAAAGTGATATAAGTCGCGATAGAGCTGGAAGCATTCGGTGGTAGAGCGATAGAAGCCGCGACAGAGTAAAGTATTCGGTGGTAAGAGTGATATAAGGTCGCGACAGAGTGAAGCATTCGGTGGTAAAGTGAGATAGGCCGCGACAGAGTAAAGTATTCAGTGGTGGAGTGAGATAGGCCGCGACAGAGTAAAGCATTCGGTGGTAAAGTGAGATAGGCCGCGACAGAGTAAAAGTATTCGGTGGTGAAAGAGATAGGCCGCGACAGAGCAAAATATTCAGTGGTGGCAGAGTGAGAGAAGCGCGACAGAGTAAAGTATCTCGGTGGTAAAGTGGAGATAGGCAGCGACAGAGTAAGGTATCTTCGGCGGTAGAGTGAGATAAGCCATGACAGAGCAAAGCATCTGGTAGAACAGTGAAGTTTCACGACCAGTGGTAAGGCATTCGGTGGTAGAGTGAGATAAGCCGCAACAGTGTAAGGCGTGCAGTGGTGAATGAGATAAGCCGCAACATGGTAAGGCATTCAGCGGTAGAGTGAAATAAACCGTGACAGAGCAAAGTATTCGGTGGTAAAGTGAGATAGGCAGCGACAGAGTAAAGTATTTGGTGGTAGAGGAGAGAATCCGGGCGACAGAGTAAAAGTATCTGGTGGTAAAATGAGATAGGCCGCGACAGAGTAAAGCATTCGGTGGTAAAGTGAGATAGGCCGCGACAGAGTAAAAGTATTCAGTGGAAGAGTGGAGATAGGCCGCGACAGAGCAAAGTATTCGGTGGTAAAGTGAGATAGGCCGCGACAGAGTAAAGTATTCGGCGGTAAAGTGAGATAGGCCGCGACAGAGTAAAATATTCAGTGGTAGAGTGAGAGAAGCCGCGACAGAGTAAAGTATTCGGTGGTAAAGTGAGATAGGCAGCGACAGAGTAAGGTATTCGGTGGTAGAGGAGATAAGCCGGCGACAGAGTAAAGTATTCAGCGGTAGAGTGAGATAAGCCACGACAGGGTAAGGCATCTCGGTGGTAGAGGAGATAAGCCGCAACAGTGTAAGGCGCAGTGGTAGAATGAGATAAGCCGCAACATGGTAAGGCATTCAGTGGTAGAGTGAAATAAACCGTGACAGAGTAAAGTATTCGGTGGTAAAGTGAGATAGGCAGCGACAGAGTAAAGTATTTGGTGGTAGAGTGAGAGAATCCGCGACAGAGTAAAGTATTCGGTGGTAGAATGAGATAGGCCGCGACAGAGTAAAGTATTCGGTAGTAAAGTGAGATAGGCCGCGACAGAGTAAAGTATTCAGTGGTAGAGTGAGAGAAGCCGCGACAGAGTAAAGTATTCGGTGGTAGAGTGAGATAAGCCACGACAGGGTAAGGCATTCGGTGGTAGAGTGAGATAAGCCGCAACAGTGTAAGGCGTTCAGTGGTAGAATGAGATAAGCCGCAACATGGTAAGGCATTCAGTGGTAGAGTGAAATAAACCGTGACACAGTAAACTATTCGGTGGCAGAGTGAGAGAAGCCGCAACAGGGTAAAGTATTCAGTGGTAGAGTGAGATAAGCCGTGACAAAGTATGGTTTTCGGTGGCAGAGTGAGAGAAGCAGCAACAGGGTAAGGCATTCGGTGGTAGCGTGAGAGAAGCCGCAACAGGGTAAGGTATTCGGTGGTAGAATGAGAGAAGCCACGACAAAGTAAAGTATTCGGTGGTAGAGTGAGATAAGCCGCAACAGGGTAAGGCATTCGGTGGTAGAGTGAGAGAAGCCGCGACAGAGTAAAGTATTCAGTGGTAGAGTGAGAGAAGCCGGTATTTGGTGGTAGAGTGAGATAAGCCGCGACAGTGTAACGTATTCGGTGGTAGAGTGAGAGTCTGAGTGAAGCGAACGGGAGTTGCGGTAGAGTGGTGCGAGGCGGTGGTAGTGAACAAAACTATGAAAACACATTGTGTATTCATAGCTTTCGGCCGTGGAAGCCGTGCCAATTGACACTTATCAGAGGGATACACAAAGTCTGTGGTCTACATTACAAGTTGTCCGACTGGCTGAGTGGGTTAGACGACTGACTTTGTGTGGGTTCCTATCCCGAACAAAAGTACTAGAATCCGTACTTTACAGAGAAAGTGTAATCCCAAATATAACATGTTAAATGTGAAGAAAGCTGTAGCAGGGTCTGAGGTGAGGCGGCAGTAGAGTAAAGGAATGCAGTGGTAGAGCTAAAAGGGAAGGCAGTGGTACTGCGATGAGATGTGAACATCATTACATGGTAGAACGGTGACTAAGCAGAGTGGTACATTAGTAAAATAAGGATACGTTATTGCAGTGTATGATGCACCTGTACACCGAGGAATAGTGCAGTGAGTAGGTTTGTAACGATTCATCGATGTTTGCATCGTCAGCTACGGCTGCATCGATACAGAGCACATTTAAGCAATATTCATATCGCCAGGGTCCATGATACATCGATGTATCGCCACAAGAGACGACATATCCCGATACCACTTAAGTAGTACATCACCGTAGATAAGCCGACCCGTTTCAGTGATTCTGAATTTGATATAAATTACATTGAATTGTTTTAGAAAGCATTGGTGTAGAAACACAACTTCCCAAGGTAAACGTCAGTTTCAAAGTTATTTTATTAGGTCAAAGTATACTGAATATGTTTTGTACATAGAGAGGCGGTACTCCAGCATTATGAACCATATCTGTTGTCGACCATGGCAGATAGATTCGACCTTTGCGGTTTTACCGCCGCATTACTCAATACTAGTATCCCAACTACAGTGTAGA